CACGGTGCTTTAAAAAAAAAAAAAAGACCACTCAACCCCTAAAGAAAGTGGACAGACAAGGCTATAGATTTGTAAAGAATTTAAATAAAGGCATGGGAGGTAAAGATGGATATTTATTCATTTATTCCAGAAAAAGAATTCTCAAATGTACAATTACTACAATATCTGTGATTTCAGAGTAAAACCAAAGTGTAGTAGCGAATACAACTGCCCTCTACAAGCTGTGTCCTGCAGCCAATAAGTTTTACTCCTCCTAAATAAATTAATCTGCAACTTTTCCTTTGCAAGTTTCACCATTATTTGAAAACAAAAAGCTTGGTCTAAATATCTGTATCAAATGAATATAAAAAATAAAGCAGAAACATATGTGTCCATTCCAACTTGTTTATTTGACAATGCAGCTATCCGTTTTTCCTCTAAGTTATATATATAATATAATATTTTGGCATCTCTAAAACAGGACTTTTGTATTTTAGGTAGCAAATTTATTTAGGGTATCAATCATCATTATATTGTAAAACATCAATAAGTGTGTGGCACTGAGCAATAGACACATCCGTAGTCTCTGTCTTGGAGAACTTAATGTATTGTACAGTTATTAACAAGTGTTAATTTATGAAACAAAGGAGTTAAAAATTAGTGAAAAATCTGTTCAGGGACATTTAACTCATGCTTTGGTACTTATCAGGTCTTTCCAGATACGGTATATACAAAGATAGGGCAATGCCTGATAGAACTGGTTAATTGGCTTGTCTCATTTTCAGAGGGCCCAAATATAACTTTAAGCAATAGTGCAAGTGAGTTTGGTGGTGTTAACCCAGTTCCTTGTGTGGCACCTATATCACAAAACTGCCACGTGATGGCAACAATCAACATGGCTGGCAGCCCTTGATTTGGCAAGACCATTGACTAGAATAGCATTAGAGCAAGGTCTATATATGATTTGAGCAAACCTGCTGACTTCATGCCCACTTTATACCTGTGCCTGACTTAGCACCCAGATACAATGCGGATGAGTGATTTTAAAATGCTTCAATATTAGATGGCCTAAACAAAATCTATAATCATGAGGCAGGAAGGCTTTGTTTTGATTGACTTACTGGCCTTGTATATTCTTTGGGTTCGGGATTGAAGAGCCGTATCTCCATTTGTACAAAAGGGAAAAAAGAGTCACTATTGCTGGAGGAACAAGAAGTTACATACTTTTCTTATTGCACATTCATATCCAACAAATGCAAATCTGAAAGAAGCTCTTAGAGAAATCTAAACAGCCACCAATTTATGATAATACAATCATCTCTCAAATTGTAAGTACTTGCTATACCATTGATTATAATTAATAAAGAACTAAAATGCCTGTTTCATTGATTATTATAATTAATACTAAAGTACTTTTTCATTATAAATAAAAATAATTTAAAGAATTTAAAAGTTGTTATAAAGAGTAGTAAATAAAAGATGAGTTATGTCACACTATGTAATGTAGAATAACCTTCGTCAGATTAATAATTTCATAATTAGACATAACCAAGCATCAGTGCATTTCCAAAAACCAATGATTTTTTTACTATATGCCCCCTTAATCATGTCATTATAAAAATTACTATATTCTGCCTAATATTTCCATCACTTTTCAATATGGCCTTGGTACATTCTAACCAAAATCCCCAAAATAGTTGCATTATAGTCACCCCAAGTTCACTTATTTATAATTCAGGAGATCTGACCTCATTTTTTTATTACTACCCTCTTCAAAATGATATTTATTTCCTATGAATTGTACCCATTGTTTTTCCCCCCCTATAAATTGTAAGTTTTCTCCCTCCTACTCCACTTTCAGGTTATGGAAAATGGACATTTATTACCTACCACATCTATCGTTTTGAGGAATAGTGCCAATAAAACCTTTTTTCTTTTCAACCAGCAAGTGTTTTTTTTTCTTGAAATTCAGATCTGGGGACTACTAACTCAAACACAATAGAACTATTAAAAGGTGATAGAGTTGAGGACATAACCCTGTCAGATGTAGGGATCAAAATGGCTTGGAGCATAAATGCTTTACAAACATTGCTTGAGCACACCTGAGCGGAACTGTGACAGAGAATAGCTGCGGTTTGAAATGAGATTCCTGATGATCTGAGTGGCTCATTGCCAGCCTCAGGTTTATGTTTTGGTCTTATTAGGTTTTCCTCTTTTTAGATTCAAAGTCTGGTGTGCATTTGTAATGAATCTTGGTCACACAAAAGAGATCTTGAACATTTGTGCTTTGTGACAAGTCTTCAAACGGCAGAATGACTAAATCCTATGCTGTTTACAGAGTGATGCTTTTCCTGTCCCACCCAGGTGGATCTGTTCCTTACATTGTGTGGTTCAGCTGTCAAAGAACAGCATGCTTCTTTGAAAAGCTAAGTGGAGGCCATATTGAGAACCTGTCAAAAGCAGAAGTACACACCTTTATGCAGTGTTCAATTACTTTTTCATGTTAAACAAAACACTGTTTCCATACAATTTTTTTTTAAATTTATAGTTTCTATCAAGCAGCTCTTCCTTCTGCCTCTTCCCTTCCTTTCTAACTGACTGGTAATGACCTTCAGCTGGAATTTGCATATTAAGACAGCCATTTTTGACAAACCCTTTATCACTATTCCTTTGAGTCAAAGGGCCTGTTCAAGACACTAGTCTAACTAAACAGGCTGAAAAGAGCATCTGTGACAATGAAGCTATGCATGTAGAATTTTTGGTAAATTATCCACTGTATCAATTATCCTGTTTTAATCCAATATACAATTATCCTATATTATTTAGAAGTTTTATTGAGAAGTTTTTTATTGTTGTGTATTTTCTAACAAGAATTGTCTTAACTGATCACTCTGCATTGTTGAACAAGGAAAAAATAATATCCTATGCACTTAGCATGAGGCTTAAAAGATGTCTGTGTTTACAGTGTACATACTAGCATTTGTAATATTTGACTTTGTGTTGTAATGTTACTATTTAAAGGAGTAGTAGGCAAATCATCAGTCTCAATTAGAAATGTTAGCATTCTGAAATGTTACAAATCCTACAACAAAATAAATTATATGCACCTGATCTAAAGGCCACTGAAATCAGTGGAAAAATCCCCACTGGTTTCAGTGGGCTTTGGATCAAGCCCTAGATGAAAAACAGGATCAAAGAAATATATTTTGGATGCCAAAACCACAGTTTCAGTTATGATACCTAGTATAGCCCAAATAGAAAAACACTGATGGTAGTTGCAGTTGTGTGTTATCTATGCACACAGAAGAGAAAAAAATAAATGTGACTTGTAAACAAAAGAAAAATAATTCTCAATTGCTAAGAACCAGTATGTCAGAATTAAAGATTGAATTATCATAAAAATATCTTGTCATGAAATGTACTGTTCTAATACCATCAAAATATTTTGCTTGCATAAATGACCTATTGGTAAGTCACAACATTCATAGTACCTTTTCACATCCATGGTATCTAATGATTAGTTGGAACAGGTTCATGACTAATAGTATGCAATCCTGTCTCCTGCAGCATAACTGATAAGAATTACAGCAACCCTCCTGAAGGCAATAATATGTATAGACCATTCTGTAAAATATTAACAGATGTGGCAGATCTATTTTTCATAAGAAAATAAAAAAAGGATTAATTTTAAGTATGAAAGTAGCCCACCTGCGTAAACCTGAGTTTTTTATCCACTTCATTACAATTGATGAATATAATGATCAACTCTCTATGGTAACACAAAAAGTTATTTTCTTATATTAATAATAAGAAAGGATTTTAAATGTCTTATAATGAATAAATATAATTTGTATTGCATGGGATATAGATTACCACCCTTCCACCAAGCTGAGATGATTTAAATTTGCAGAGAAGTCCATGCTACATGAACTGGAGATTTCCATTCAGCGTACCTACTAACAATTTCATCCATTTGCCCTTGCATTTTGAATCCCTTTCCTCTACTTACAGGAACACACTCCTAATGCTACTAAGCATTTGGGATCAAAATACAGCCTAGATGTAAGGATTTTTTTCTCCAAAAAATTGATGAAGCATGATTATGGAATCAACAAATATTTCCTTACTTTTTAAATACAAAGTATCAAAGATGAACATTTGTTTACATCATTGTGGTTATAGTAAACATCAACACCCCAATAAAGCCTATGGACTCAAAAAGTTAAATACAAAGCATCTAATATAATAGATTAAATGGCCACATCAGTCTCTGCCTCGATTTATTGAATTACGGGACTGCTACAATTTAATCCGGAAACTTGATCTATCTAATAAAATATAGATAGGGACTTTCACATTTCATTCCATTAGCCATCCTTTGACAGAAATTGCTGTTGCATGTCTCAAACACATCCAGATTCTGCACTTTTTGAAAACTTTTCTTAAAACCTTTCCAGTTCCCTTGCTTCTGAGGACCGCGCAAAGGAGGGAAGCTAGAGGTAGGAAATGCTTCCTGGATGTTAAACCATTTGAAATCCAACATGATTTTGTAGTTTTAAAACATACATGCAGTTGGGCTTTCAAGATACAGAGGTGGAATACATGGAAATAAAACATTTCAAGCAATTGACCAAATCTCAAAAATAAAATTAAAAGTCACTAGGAAGTATCCACACTACCACCTTGTGGAATTTTCTTGCAAGAACAGCACCTGCTTGTTTCCACAAAGTTATTTTTCCCTGCCTAATATTAAAATTAGTTTAGTTTCAGGGATAGATAAGGGTTCTATTATTACTAGTTTCTTTTATGAAAACAAGGGATAGGCCCACAGCGCAGATGATTAACTTATCTCTTGGGTTTCTTTATTTTCCTCTCTCTTGCTCGCTCTAAATAGTTGCCCTGGCTCTAAATGATAAAATAATCATAATTATAACAATAAATCAAATGTAGCCTTGTCTCAATGAATCCCAGCACTGGGGGAGGGGAGAAGTGGGGGGGGGGGAAAAGAGATCTTTCCTGCAAGAGGAAAACAGTAAAACAACCACTTGTGAAACCTGCAGCAGTCAGAGCCTCTGCTGGGAACAGGACAAGGAAAAGAGGATCCAGTTTCTTCCAGCTGAGCCAAATCCACTGAAAATAAGGGCACTGTTACCCTGAGGTGGGTGTTAGCCTTCAGGTGTCCCCTTGTTGTGGCTGGACTGGAATAGCTGGCAGGAAAAGTCCCAGGGACCCAGGAACAGAGTGGCCGCTGCAGGATGCTTGCCCTGGCTTATACCCCTCCCAGGGGGGAAATGGAGCTCTCTGCAGTCAAGGCAGGCGTTGGACACCTGGCAATTAGCTGGGGACTGGGAGCTGGGGTGAGGTTGAGGCAGAGAAAGGCAGCACAGACCGAGGGACAGGTTGCACTGGGGACGGTGAGCAGCCAAGGCTAAGGGACTCATGGCCAGGAGGAAGGAACTTACTGGCATTGCAGCTTGCGGGGCAGGTTGCCGGAGAGGGAGCTGAGTTGCCGCCTGTGGGGCGGCCGGGAGAGCTGGGGATGTTTGCCTGAGGCATCCCCATCACCTGGATCAGCTAGATGAGGGCTAGGCGGTGTAACCTGGGGAGGGCCAGAGTTGGGGGGGGGGGGGCGCTGCGGTGTGTGCTTGGGGCTATTGAGTCTCGGGGTGGGCAGCAGGGACTGCTAGACAGTGGCTGCAGTGAGCAGGAGAAGGGGAATCGCTCTGCTACCCGCCCCTCCAAAAAAAACTCCTCTTGCAACTGGGACCCCAGCAAGGCTCAGTTCCCCTCCCACCCCCCCAGCCCACACGCCAGCAGCATTCGCGGGGCGGGGGCGGCCCGGGGGAAGGCGCCTGGCGCAGGGTCTGGCAGAAGGGAGGGGGAGGTAGAAGTTCAGCGGCTGCTCTCACTGCGCCCCCCGGCTGATGGCTGCAGGAGGGACAGATCATCAATCACAGCACCCTGCAGAGGCAAGTGGGGGGGGG